CCCCCCCCCCCCCCCCCCTCCCTCCCGCGCGTGTCCCTCCTATTCACAGGGTGCCTTGATCACGTGGTGGACGTACAACACCATCGTGGCCGCGGACGTGGGCGCGTACTTCGTGGGCAAGTCCCTGGGCAAGACGAAGCTGTCGGCGGTAAGCCCGGCGGCGGGCTACGCCTCCCCCAACAAGACCATCGAGGGTCTCCTTGGTGGCCTAGCGGCTTCGTCGCTTGCTGCAACCATCGGCGCCCGCCTGCTAAGGTGGCCGGCGTGGTGGGCAACGGGGCCCGCGTACGGCGCGATGCTATGCCTCGTAGGCCTTGTGGGGGATCTCACCGCGTCGGTTTTTAAGCGGGACGCCGGGTTCAAGGATTCGGGGAGCTTGCTGCCGGGACATGGGGGGTACCTCGACCGCGTGGACAGCTACATATTCACGGCGCCCCCGGCGTACATCTTCGTGAAGTTGATTCTTCCTCTGGCCGCGAAGCTCGTCGTAAGTGTAATTNGGGGGGGGGGGGGGGGGGGGGGGGGGGGGGGGGGGGGGGGGGGGGGGGGGGGGGGGGGGGGGGGGGGGGGGGGGGGGGGGGGGGGGGGGGGGGAGGGGGGAGCGAGAGGTATTCGACGGAGAAAGTTTTATTCAACTAACGCTACAGCAGCAGCAGTTCTTTTTTGCATTGCCGCGGGATCTGTTCGATACGCCGTAGTCCACCTCTCTGTTTTTTTCTCCTCGCTTTTTTTGTAAGCCGTTAATGGAGATGTGGAAGTAGGGGGTATTGTAGTTCACGGAGACGCATTCTGCTGCGTGTGTGGTTTTGCCTGTGTCAGCAGTCGTCGTCGCGCTCAGTCTATACAGCCCAAGCAGCACGAAAGAAAGCAACTGCCGATACTGTTATATTGTGATATAGATGCGACCGTTGAGTTGTCGTAGAGGGGACGGGACCACAAAAAGCGCCCCCGATGTCTCAAACCAAGCAACGGCAGAAGTACTGTCAACTGCTGAACTACTGTCCGGTACTTGCTGCTTTTGATTGTGTTGTGCTTCAAGTGTATGCGAGAGACGGACACGAGCTACTCGCTAGACACTTGTTGTCACGTGAACAGAAACCTAACCCGATCTTGCCCGTGCTGTCGAAACTCGTCGTTTCCCTCCTGTGCTGTCTCGCACCCCTCTCCCATCTATCGAAGGCGCGCTACGTATAAAGGAGAAGATTGGGGGCAGCGGGCGCGGAGCTTCATCGCCGCCAGCAGAGGAGATTGGCGGAGCATAGGTTACCTTCCGCCTCAGGAGCCTCCCACTCTGCCGCTGGTCCCAATCGATCAAGGCGAGCAGCAGCAATCAATCAAAGGGGGTATGAACCACGGGGGAACACCAGACGGGAATCCCTGTAAATGTAGCTGGCGTCTTGGTCTGTAAGGGGTTTGTTATGATCGTCGCGCTCGTTGCCGCCCGGCAATGTTATGTGCGCGTTTTTCGAGAAATGCTGTTTAATTGTGGCCAGACGTACACGAAGCCACCGGGGTAAGGGCAACATACACGTTCCACGGTGTGGGGGTGTTTGAACATGAATTTTGCGAGAGAGAGAGAGAGAGAGAGAGAGAGAGAGAGAGAGAGTGGGGGATTTAAGGTGGCATCACTGGTGTTGTCTTGTTGAGATGCAACCGGCGCTGCGATGGTTGCTCTGAATAGTAGCCGAGTTCGTTTCGTTAACCTGCCTGTTGTAGGGGAGCATAGAATCTCGTCGTGCGAGAGAATGGGGTTGTGCGAAGGTGTACCGATTCTGGTAAAAGTCAATCGACGGATACCCTGCGAATCGGGTCCTCCTTAACACTCTCCACCCGCAAAATTTACCCTCAACTGGGAACCTCTTGTGGCTAGGATGGGTATTTCGATGGAAGCGTCATAAGGTTCTTTGTAGGATCGACGCCAAGAGGTGTTCTGAGTTCTGACACACATTGTGCCCATGGGAAAATGTCCAAGTCAGGAGAAACAGAGTGCACCCAAGGACATTCGAACTAGTATCCGGCTGACGCCACATGCGAAAGTGTACCGATTCAGGTAAAAGTCAATCGACGGGCACCCTGCGAATCGGGTCCTCCTTAACAGTTGTTCTAGAGGGCGGGGGGCGAGCTTTTGGGAGATTAACCTGTAGTACCCCGTGGGGTCGGTATCACAAGAATGTTGTTTGCATATGATAAACGAGTAATGGTATGTTACGGCTTTTCAAGAGAGGGCGCACCACTGGGTGGCCGTTGGTTTCCCTTAGGGAATGGACCGCTGTTGCTGTGCAATGTTTCCCGCCACGATAGCAGTCAGTGTGGTTGACTTGGTCGGGTACGGCGGAGACACGTGCAGGAGGCTCGCGATAGCACCGAGTCAATGTACAGGCATCGGTGGGTGAAGTCCACACCTACACATGCCCTGCGGGTAAGGTGAAGGCGCGCGGGGGGACCTCTGCGTTGATGGTGTCACATGTCACACCTAGCGACCATCTGGTATTTTTTCCAGCGTCGAGAGGCCGTTGGTGATGCGCCAAACTTTTAGGAGACGAAGAGATGGAACTCCGTGAAGGGGAAACAGTTTGGACCATAAGTTGGGCGTGTATTACGCACGCAACTGCTGCTGTAGCTCGGATCTCTCCCGGGAGAACGAAACGGCCTTTCTTTTCGAAGTGGAACGTGTAATTTCTTGAGGAACGCGCAAAACAAGGACAAGAGGGAGGAAGTGAAAATATTGCCATAAATGGAAGGACAGCACCGCGGCAGGAAAACAACGACAAAACGAAAAAGAACGGTCCAAAAATGTTGGAAAAATCTTTCTTCTCTTCAGCCCCATACTATACAATACAAGCACCATACATACGTTGCCCGGCCGGTGTGTTCCCGAAGAGGTGCACAAATTGACTCCCAAATACATGCGACGAAAGCCAACGTAAATCATATACATACACAGCAAGACTGTCGTGTAAGCTCCGATTCCCGCTTCATGCCCACAGGTTTCGAACGTCCTTAGAAGTGATGGATTTCGGTGATTGGACGCCCATGTAACCGGTGATATCTACCCCCCTATTTACGAAAGTAGGCGTTTTCATGTAAGCTCGAGACCAGATCTCCGGCGTGCCCGTTGACCGACGCGGTAGTTTCAGGTTGTTGCAACCGACACGAGCGAGTCCGGCTCGCGAGAGCGCCGTCCCGCAGGGTCAGTTGCCGCCTTCGTCAGAGAGTTCAGCTCGCGTTCAGGACTTACAAGGGAGTGGATGGGCCACGGGCGCTGTTCCTTGGAGGTTTGGCAACTGAGTTCTGCGTGAGTAGGTGTGAGGTGTGAGGGTTTGGATCGTGCATATTTTTTGGCGGGAACTTGCGAACCCTGTCGTGTTCGCATCATACTGCTTGACTGCTGGGATCTGTGAGCAGCTAAGCCGGAAGGGAGTTGACAGGGTAGATGCTTGAGGTTATTGCAGCTCTGGATACTAAGTTGCCAGTCAGGACGGCCATGGAGCAGAGGGTGGCGTCACAGACAGTTTTTGGGAGTTTTTTCGACCCAACAAAATGTGCCCGCGAGCTATTCCGCCGCTCGTTCCGACAATCTGTAGCCATTTCGCCGCCATACACCATGCACCTAGAGCAGCCTATCTGTCGCTGACGCCCCTCGCCACTACCATGAAACAAACATCTACACATCGGTGCCATCACAAGCCCACCACACGTTGAAATATCTTCTAAAAAAGACTGTCGCGAAACCAGCTGTGTGTGGTACCAACATTGTTCGCGTTTGTAGTTGTACGTCGTGCGTAAGGACTGTGCATTGGTGTGCACAGCACGCGAGCAGTATCCCCCGCCGACGCACCGCACCAACCTACTGATCGCACGTAGATGCACAAGACCAACCCCATTTTGAGATGAAGCCTTCGTTGCCCCACGCTACGACACTACACTACGGCAGTACGGCAGTACGGCAGTACCATGTCCTAGGTTGCAGTCGCTCTCACAGCTGCTGCTGTGGTTGTTCTCTTCACCTCATCGATGATCTTCGTACAGTAAATCTCGTACCAGGTACTGCTACAGTAGATGTAGGCACGACCTCGCTTCTCCCCTGTGGTTTGTACATTTTGGACCACGTAGGTCCCAGAAAATGAGAATTTCTGTCGTCACAAGCTAAGAACCCAACGAGGTATCACTTATTTGTATGCATATGCGTGCATGTACGAAAAAGAAAGATACAATTTCACCTGCCAGAGCCCGCAGGGGATATTGCTGGCGTCGTCCGTAGGACGGCATTAGGGGTACAGCGTAGAGATTAGGATAGTGTCAGAGATGGGGCGTTCTCTGCTGCTCCAATCGCTCTGAAGCTGAACCACAAAACTTTGGAGCATTACGTTGCACCTGAGGTGCATGGTGGTCCTGATCTACACACATTTTCGCGCTGGTTGTTTTTTTTCCATAAAATCTTACCACTTCTACATGGTAGGGTATATGGGTACGTACAGGCGCGCCACAAGAACCTGTTGTTTCGGCCGAGGCTCGTTTCTTTTTTCTCCTCGGGGTAGTTGTAACAGCGACAAGTCCGGTGTTTGTGCAATGCACTGGCATCTCGACTGACCACCTGCTCAAGTCCTTCGAGGTCGTTCTTCTTGAGATTGAAAATCTTACGGCTACCCCCGGCTCCCCAAGTTTTAGAAATGTAAAAGGGATGGAGTCGTTTCGAAAAAAAATACACCTTGAATTTTGAGTTGGTGAATATTGCATACACAGCTTCACATGGAGGGGACGTGAAAGTCAACGCGGTGAAATCGTCTAGTCTGAGAACGACGTTTCGGGCCGTGAGTAGAATCAAACCTGTGCCACATGTTGTTGGCCTAGGAAATCGCCAGCCAGCTTTTTCTGCGTTCAATCCGTTTGTTCATTGGGGATACGCGAAGGACGGCTGCGACACGCCGACGCACCTACATGACCTGGGAGTCGGTACAAGTACGGGCCGCTGTATGCATCTACACTCAGTATACAACCGACCTATTGAGTCGTTTCTAGCTTCCTTCTGCTGCTGTGAAGGCAGCACGAGGCAGCATACGACGCCATTCGCACGTCACAAAGGTAGAATCTGGCAATTTCGTGCCGTCTGGTTTCCGGGTGGTGAGCTGTAGCTGTCCGCAACTGGAGCGTAATGTTCTGCGGCTTTTCACCGACATCCCTGCGGGGAGATGGCGTAAAGTAAATTTCACGTACCTCGATCTCGCGCTACAAAGCTTCTACGATGAAGCGTACCACAGCTTTTGTCGACAGGTTTGCTCATGCGCGTACTTCAAGGTACGGTTTCTTGAACAATATGTCCCTGGTTTGTTTGTGGCTCTCTTTGCGGGATATGGAGGATTGGGAGGGCAGCAGTCCGAACGAGACCTGCCAAGGGTTGTTAATCCAGAGGTTTGACTACGAAAAATGAAAGTTGAACAGAAACACGCCATTTCGGAGACCCCGGAATAGAACCAACCGCCGGAGCCAGGCGTGTCCTTGACTCCTATGTTCTCAAGTGTGGGGTAGCGCGTTCCGCATGCACAATATGATTAATTTGTTGTTTCCTTCGGAGAGATTTGGTGGTAGCATCGTTGCGAAACCAGAGCAGATAGCTTCATGTAGCACACGACACAGCGGAGGAACATTCCCGATACATTCGTCCCTGACTCAGCAGGGATACGCCGGGAATTCAGCTCGGGGAAGTCCTGCAGATAGATAGGGGGGAAGTCCTATTACCTTTGTTTGTCGTTCTTCCTCGGGTGTTAGGGTTCCAACTGGCTTCCCTGAGTTCTCAGTGGACGGATGGAAGCAGGTGCACATATATCCATCTCCCAGCAGGATTTGTCGTTCAGTCTTCACTTCACATGTTTCAAAGTACCCTCTCTGGGGACGGATAGTCGTTCTGAGATGCGACGTGTACTTTCCAATAACCGCCGCAGGCACGTCTACAATATCTCCGGAGAAGAAGTTGCTAGAACTCCAAGACTGAGCGCCCATCAGGGGTAGACAGGTGTGTGCCCAGGTCGCCGTCCCGTTGGCCATCACCGTCTGTCGGTGAGGCCAAAAGCGCTGTAGTAGGGAAGGGTAGGATCACGTATGTAGCATAAAGAACGTACCCTTGTCATAGCTGTTTCGCGCGAGAGACCGCGGTAACAAAGAATTTTTTGTCAAAGATTAATGAAACACAGCAGCATTACTTTGTTTGGTGATGATCCCTTCGCGAACGCTTTCGGTTTTCAGCTCGAGGAATGATTGTAGTGATCGCACGCACCTCTTGGAGATCGTTATCGGAGCATTTCTACAGGGCGTGTAAGCCGTGCGTTCTTCTCAGCCATGCACTAACCCCTTTGCTGTTCAGGCTGCCCGAACCAGATTCCTAGGCGGGTCAACAAGCATGTGCTCCGATAGTCTATAGTAGGCTATTGTAGGTGCTACCCCGTTGCGCATTATAGTGCTGCTTTCTCCGATGCCATTTCCATGCTGTCCTTGGGCAGCGGGCCAAAAAGCAAGTTCTACATGCTAAACCGTTGAGCATCATGATACCGGTTTCGTCAATGCAGTTGCCGCGCAGTCGTTGGGCAGCG